AAATCCTTTTAGTAGTGGTGCTGCCACTAGAGGTTGATTTATTTAACTAAGTTGATCCCACTTTTGCCTTGATGATGGCAAAGTAAACTTGTTTAGGACTAACACCTGCACTTAGTGGGAGCTAGACTGACCTTTAAAAAAAAACCCAAACAATCTGTTTCTGTGAATCGAGTACATGATATTACTCAAACAAATAAGATCTTAGTGTTATACCAGAAACAAAGAAACAGATTAGTCAAAGCTTTTGTGGCAGATGTTTGTTTTTCAATGATGGACAGAAGAAGAAACCACAAGATGTCACTCTCTCCTAAGAAGCTGAGAAGTGCTTTCTCCTTGACGGTCATCCCGTGGGAGTGTTGGAAGGCTGAATATCCTGAATGGGACTCAACTATATGTAGGTCTTCCTAAAATCAATGAGAGTTGCTCAAGTTTGAGAGCATAATTAGACTCATGTGCCTGAGATTATTAATTGTGTCAGGGGGGCTGGAAACAAAAGAAAATCTGCTTTGTGTGGCAAACTTTTCTCAGTATTGTTAACAGATTGCTGGATTATTTTGTTGCTCATAGAGAACTTTTTGTCCAGTTCATAGCCTGCGTGATTGTATTGTGTCCTTGATGTGGGGTGAAATAAAAGCAAAGGTTTGTTTTATTCAACCCATCTGGATGATCAGCAGTACAGTTGAACTGTGGTTACTTCAGAGTGTCAGTGCTACAGTAGGAGTACATTTTCTTGACGATGAGAGAAATAACTGGGTTGAAGTATGTCACCCCTATTATTCTGGTGTTGTCTTTTGCTTACTTCTCATTTTACCCTTCCCTTGCTGCCTGACATGTAGTCACTAGAATTTCTGCATGAGCAGACTCCCAGCATCTTCTCCCCTTCCACAGTGAGGGTACACTACTGTCAGGTGTTCTCTTCTTGGGGAAGAGGCAGTATTTTTCCGGTGAGGATTTTCTAAAAAAGCCAACAAGGCATACTTCAAAAGCAGTGATTACAAACTAATCCTTGAGTTGTTTCTGTCCCTTTTTAATAAGCAATCTTTGCTTTTGTCCCTACAGTGGAAAATAAGAAAGAGATTTACCCCCGAAGCCTGGGGCCAGGGTGGAGGAAAACAGTACCTTAGTAACTCCATTAATACCAGCAAGAAGTGAGTTCACTTCCCCTGTGAGTTACTTTGCATCTACTGACACAGTTGATGAGAAATTGCAGATTAATTTAGCTTGTAAAACGCTCTGCAGTCCCCAGGGATTTTGCATCAAGTTTGCGGTAGTTACAGGGGTTCAGACAGAATGAAGACTCGGCCTGCTTGCCGGAGACCTTTGGAAATTGGTTCAGTTGCTTGTCTTTGGCTTCCAGCTGGCATTGGTTAAGGGCTATAAAACAAAGTTACACATGAGAAACTATTTGCAATACACAAGCATAGTTGGTACAGTTAAAACCCGTGAACAGCAGTACAGAGCTGTTACCTCCAGTGACCGGGGCTTCTCAAGTGATATTCTGAGTACAGAGCTGCTCTTAGAACAGCATCCACGTGAATGTTTTTCATTTCACAGTAGTAATCAGAAGCCTGAGTTGTAGACCAGTTTCTCTAGGCATTAGGCTATCTGAATAAAAAGATAGACAAAAGTCATGTAGTAAAATGCAGTTTAAATTGCAGTTTATAGGCAATAGTGAAGGCTAGTGCAATAGTGAAGGCTGTAAGGCTAATGAAGGATGAAGGATGTCGGACTTGTTCAGTCACTCTGTCAGGGAGGGAAATGGAGAAGGGTGGTGAAGTTAAGTGTATTATCCAGACAACAGGTGAATCTCAGCTCCACTCGGTATTTCAGAAATTGTTCAGACCTTTTCAAAACACCTTACAAATGCAGCATCCAAACTCTGCCTGTAAGTCAGGCAGCTGTTTATTCTCAGATAGGTGAAACTCCAAACCAAGCACAGCAAAGCTCACAATGTTGGCAGCTGTTCTTAAAAAGCATGGTATGCAAAAGTTTTCACTCTCCACTTCTGACTCTGATCAAGTAGCCCGAAAGATATTTTTCTTAATGATGTGTTTGTGACCCTGTTCTGGAAACTAATCTGGCAGATAGTGGTAGTAAAATTCTAGGTCTACTAGGAACCAGCTGAGGAAAAAGATTGGAATTGTTCTTGCAGCTGGGGAATTTCTTGCAGCTGAGTTTCTGTCTTTTCAGCCACACTGAGTCACAGTATGAATGATGTTTCAGATATGAGCTATGTTTACTGATAACAACTTGGTTTACTACCTAACTCTTACAAACGCGTATCTCTTCTCTCTG